ATCAAAACCCAGCGTACAATATTGTGGATTTGTGTTATAATGCAAATCGAACTCTTTAAATCTTTACTCTTGTTATTATCAGATTGATTCAAAATGTATGTTACGGCCATTTCATCATGTATATATTCATAATAGAGAAAAATATAGGATAAAGTTATTCTATTTCTTAATATCTAAAATTATTTATACATTTTTTTTTTTTTTTGGGGGGGGGGTAAACTTTTGCGATTCAATTGGGAACCTATGTTCGGAATTCCACAAATTGACGAAATGTTAGTTTCAATAAATCTTGGTGTTGCATTTTTGATTTCCATCAATCCGTTGACGAGATTTTCCATTTTTTAGTTTATAGGTAGGGGAAGAGTAGTGGGATACTATTCAAACGCCCCGGGGCCGTGCCATTACACAAGCGCATAGTGGAACACTACTAACTCTCCCCTTACTTAAACTAAATGTAGAATATCTCATCAACGGATTAACGGAAAATTTCGCCACCAAAATGTATTGAAACTACCATTCCGTCTATTTGTGGAATTTTGAATATAGGTCCCCATTTAAATTTCAAAAATTGACCGCCAAAACCCCTCAAAAATACTCGTCATGTACAAACTGCGTTTGATATTAATAAATCGAAAAACTTTTGCGTCATACATTTTTATCTATTTCGAGTATTTACACGATAAAAATATGGCTGTAACATACATATTGAATCACTCTGTACATATAAAACAAAGTGTCATTTTGTTGTACGGGTCAATCTCAGAAACTCCTCATCCAGTCGGCGTGCAATTTTTTTTTTGTAAATGATAGAGTATATCGCGCAAAAGGTTTTAAGCTATTGAAAACATAATTCTGATCAATAGAATTAATAGACCTAACCTGCACAGGTTAACAACAGTGATAGTGACAGGGATTGAAAAAGAAAATCCAGGGGAAAATCGTTTATATTACACATTTGTTTAGCACTGGCAACACCGTTTGGGACAGCTAGTTTTGTATAATTATATAGATATCATATTTGATTGGCATTTAAATAAAATCGTTCGAAAACAAACGCGTCACGTTGTCGGTATACATGCAATACAATAGCATTATAATAATATTATATACTATTATTCGCCGTGGTCAAAACTGCAGGATTTCGAACGCGACATCTTCTCCCTCTGCTTTTTGGATTTTTAAACTGCATCAATCATATTATAATCGTCCGATAATGTTTCAGCATTGCCTTTAGTTCAATAAGTACATGAATAAAATATTAGAATTAGGGAACGGATTTTTATGCGCACTTAAAATCGATAAAAAAAAAAAAAAAAAAAAAACGCTTAAGGTCTGGAAATAATCGTTTAAAAAACATAACTAGCAGAGGGGTTTGAAAGTTCCCCATGTAACGATGACTCTAACTTATCAAACACAAAATTCCGACACTGTATAAACGATTATGTATTTATTTGAAAAAAAATTACTCTGTGTTAATCATTTTCGAAGTGTTAGGAAATTATTCTCAATAGGTTAGAGCCATTAGGCGGGGCTTTTAAACTCTTCTACCATTTTTGCTTTTTTGAAGTGATATTTTCAGGGTTTTTTTTGACGTTTTTAAATGTTTTTTGTATGGATTTTAGGTGCGTATGAATCCGTTCTCCAATTATTATAATAATTAGTATAATTTATTATTGTTGTCCGTTAAATTGAATCGACGCTAAGTCAATTATTTACATAACCTATACAAAACTAATTGCATTGTAATTTATTATAATATTATGATTGTGATGCATTAAATACATTTACGCAGAATCCTATACAGTTTTTGTGATTAAATTTATAATAATGTATCGAAACATTTGGTGACGATGACCAGACGTCCCGCAGCAGGCGTTACGTTATATTTTGGATTTTGAGTATTGAATTTCGACATTGTTATCTCGTAAACTATCCGGTCTTCTCGTATTATCACTATCCGGTTATTTTTTCGGAATGATAAACGTTGTAATTAGTCATTTCTATTCGGTATACGCCCGTTTCGCATTATTTCGAAACGTACGATTGAATTCATGCTGCTCGTAAATTATATTAAACGTACGGATATTGTATTATTACCATTGAGATTAAAATACCCATTTATATAGATATTCAGTGGTGGCTCGTCAGGAGAACCGTTTTCCCATTTAAAAAAAAAAATCCCCATTGCGCACGCTTATAAATAATAATCCATTAACATTTAAAAATAAAATTTCGTTGAAATATTTTTATCTAAATTGAAAATAATATCGTGTTTGTGACATACGATCTATAAATAGTTTGGTATTTTTCATGGGTTATATTGTGCGTGGTGTATGTTATAATAATAAAATTGTAATTCAAAAGACGTCGCAATAACTCAAAACCCAAACAAACTTTTGGCCCATAATACACAAGAGTTGTTTTTATTAAAATATTTGTAGTTCAACCTTGGTCTTAAACGTTTTTAATTCCTAACAAAAAACTCTATCGGTATGGTAGGTACTAGGTAGGTTACCTATCGAATTAAAAGTAAAACCAATACAATTTAAAATCTACTACGGCAATATTTGTGGCGAAAAAATTGTGTTTTGTTTAACAATATTATCAATTAGTAAAATAACTATTTTGGAACTTTTAAAACAAAATTATTGATATTGTTCCTATTATTTCGACCGAATCAAAATAAAAAACGGGGTGGCACTTCTCGTTTTGCCATAAAAAAAACTTCGCCTACAGAATATACCAGAGAATGCCTTCGTGTGCTTTTATAGGAGATTCAAACTCTGGGTTCAAAAATTGAAATCTAATAGGCAATTATACAGTTAACCTCAGATTTCCACTGTAATCTCGAGGAAAATTATAAATAATTTAGATTCAAAGAATAAGTCTAAATATTATGATGATACCTACAGTTTTGCAACCAACATCATTAGATTGGAAATATTTTTAACTATAGGTTGTGAAAATTACTGAAATAACAAGTGAAATTTCTACCGATAAGCAAGTATTATAAGGAAAAAACTGTCCAAGGATAATGGCGACGGGTGCAGCCAATTAAAATATATCCGTAAGCAATAATTGTTAACGAAAATACGAAAATAGTGTTGTTTTTTTAACAATATATAATATATCATGTAAAATAATTACATATGCGTTAAACATTTTCTTTCATAATATTTGTTTAATATTGTGAGTAGTAGGCACCTATTTTCTCATTTTCTTACGTTTTTCACGGTTTTTCCCATTTGTTGGGAAAACTTATGAGAAAATAAAAAAATTAATTCTCTACAGTACATTTCCAGTCCGATTTACATTTGAAAAAGTGCTAAAGTGCCCAAAAGTTTTCCCTGCAAATGTGAAAAACCAGGAAAAAACATGGGAAAATCGGTAAAACACTAAATAAATATTATTGAAGAAAATATATAAAGCCTATTTAATTATTTTACTATAATATGACATATATATATTGTTGACAAAGCATCACAATCAATTGAACTCCACTCAGAATCGTTTTTTCGTTAGCAATGGTTTATCAATAGCTTACAGGTATACATTACATTAACTTTAACTGTGGCAGCATCCGTTCCCATTATCCTAGGACGTCTTTTTATCTTACGTTCGAAATATTGATAGTAAGAAATATTATCATGGAAAAATAAAAAATGATTATTTTGTTTCCATCGATTTTGACTACCAGTCCAGGGATGAATGATCTGAATGATGACTCCGGCACTTTTTACAAATCCAGCGCAATCCATGTCCAGGGTAATATGTATTATATGTTATAAAAAAAAAGATAGCAGCACCATTCTTATCTACTATGTTTTTACGACCATAGTATCTCGGTCAGGGACGGATCAAGGGGGGACCTAGGAGCCCAGTCCCTCCAGATATATTATTTTTTCGATTTTTGTTTGAGAATCGTATGAGAAAATAATATACATAATGTGTTATATCATATTTGAATTGTATTTGTGTTGTAAAAAAATAGTTAGGTCCCCCCCCAGATTTTCGCTCTGGATCCATGCCTGATCTCGGTTATGTTTATATATTGCATTGGTCTTATGGCGGGTAAGCATTCCAGTTATCATATAGCATTCAATGATCCTATATGATTGGAGCATTTCAGTTTTTAGAAATATGGTAACAAATATTTCAATGTTGCCGATGTATACAAAAACGAATTGTAAATTTTCGTACGGCATGTTCATATTAATATGTCTATGATGCATACATGCCAGACGAGTTTTCCTAAAACGTTATAACATCATAATTTCGTACCTTGCAATGTAATCATTATTTATTTTCTAATGTGATAATAATATTGTATTCAGATAATTGTCTGCATTGAGAACGATGAATCGAATGTCAATCAATAGTAAAATGAAAATAACAATATATTTTCTGCGTTGTCGGTCTACCTAAATTTGTAATTCAGTTTTTTTTTTTATATTTAATATTGTCTAATTTTTTTAATATTTTCTTATCACGTTTCTGTAAACCGTATACTACTCTAGGTGCGGATATAATTTATTATAATAAATTCGTGATATTAATTGCACAATTAAAAACACGCATGATGTATTATGTTTGAACACTCGTATTATATTCAATTACTAAGATTTGACTATTATTAAAATAAGAGACACTCAAATGAGATTGTTAGGAACAAAATATGTATAAAAGTACTTAAAATGTAGAATACAACAGTTTTAAAGTTACTTCGCGTCGCATTTGTGTGCGCGTTTTTATTTGTTCGGATCCAATCGCACTCGATAAGGACTTTTATCAGATAATATGACGTCAGACGAGTCGTGCCGTACTTGTACGGCCGCCGCGTTCTGTTATCTCGCCCGTAACCGCGCTGCCGCCCCGACCGTCTCTACGGCGACACGGAGCGTCACGGCCGGGTTCGCCGCGGAGGGCCGCGGAGAACAAACCGCGTGCTCCCGGCGGCGTTGAGACTGGCCTCGGCGCCAGCGGCTGGCAGTTATGTGTCGGCGTTTTATCGCCGCGCAGCGTCGTCCCGTCCGCGAACTGCGCCGTAATGATATTGCGGTAATATTCGCGGTTCGTGTAAAATGCGACGGCCCGCCGCGTGAACAATGGAAATAGACGAGACGATGGACTTTCTGTTGGCCGGCGACTACAGAAAATTAACGTACGAGCAAAAGTGTCGGCTGAAAGGCGACCGTCCGACGCCCGACCTCCAGCTCGCGTGCGTCGACGGCAAGAGCACGAGGCATTTTCAACGCAGTTGGTACGACAAGTTTCCGTGGCTCGCGGGTTGCAGCAAAAGGAACAAGATGTTTTGTTTCACTTGCATGATGTTCGGCGGGGACGCAGAATGGTGCGTCGACGGCGTGTCGTCTTTGAAAAACATCCTGAGGAAATCCGAGAAGCACGGTATTTCCAAAAAACATTTGAAGAACCAAGAAAAGTTTCACCTGCTGGGCAGAGTCCGAATCGAACACGCGGTGTCGGAAATCCGAAAACTCGACGCCATGAAACATAACGAACAGGTCGGTATAAATAGACGTCTGTTAGCGCGTATTATGCACGTAGTTTGTTTTTTGGCCAAACAAGAAATCGCTTTTCGCGGGCGACACGATTGCAGTGAACCCCTAAACCAAGGGAATTATCTTGAACTACTCGAACTGTTCGCGCAAGAAGAGCTGTTGCTTAAAGATCACTTTTTATCATCGCCGACGTTTAAAGGTATTACGTGCAACGCGATACAAAATGATTTAATCGAGTGCGTAACTTCCGTTTTAAATTCAAGAATTGTTCAGGAAATACAGACGGTTAATCACTTATCAATTCAGGTAGACGAAACGACCGACGTGTCGTGCCGTTCCCAGATCAGCATAATTGTTCGATATGCGGTCGAACAAAATATTGTCGAACGGTTTATTGGGTTTTTTGACGTGCCTATGCATAAAACAGCATCCTGTTTGGCCGATGTCATTTTAAACGAAATTAATAAGTGGCGCATGGGAAATAAAATTATTTGTCAGACCTACGACGGTGCATCGGTCATGTCCGCGGAAAAAAACGGTGTACAATTCCATATTAAGCAAATTCATCCAAATGCGTCATTTATTCATTCTTATGCGCATCAGCTGAACTTAGTATTGTTACACGGAGCGAAAACCATAAAAACAGTAAAGAACTTTATTTGCAATCTAACGATGTTCCGTACGTTTTTTAGTCGGTCTACTAAGAGAAGTGAATTATTAAGGGAACGGGGTTTTAAACTTCCAAATAAACGTGACACGAAGTGGAATTATAATTCAAGAGCTGCTGATACAATAAAAACGCATTTTTCGGAACTTAAAAATGCTGTTATACACGTGACTGAAGCCCCAGGTTGGGACCCTGTGTCCGTTTGTACAGCATCGGGTCTTTACGACAAACTTAATGATGCGGAATTCGTATATTTGTTAATTTTGTTTAGCACGATTAGTGTATACGCAGATTATGAATTTAATTTTAACACGATCACTCTTTCGAACATCCAATCTTGTGTTTCCGAAATTGAAAATTTAAAACATAATTTGGCCGATTTAAAGAAAGATTCGAATGTGGATTATTTTTGTGAAGAAGCAATAAAGTTAAATAACAATTTGGAGTATGATGAGGAAAAACGAAACGAATTACGTAAAATTACATACGAAATACTGGATGCATTGATCGTTCAAATTAATATGCGATTTGAGGATTTTTCGCGACTAGAGTTCATAGAGGTCATAAACAACAAAATGTTTTCCGAATATCATAAAAAATTTCCCGAGTCAAAGTTCGTCGAATTAATACAGCTCTACCCCAATACTTTTGATGCAGATCGTTTGCGCAATGAGTTGGCTGTAATTTATGCGGACGTCAAAAAACATTTGCCTCCACACGAACTTCTGGATCTTATAATAAAAAGTTAGCGATCTATAACCGATCATTGTCTATTGTATATTTAATAATCTTTTCTATTTTTTCATTCACAGATGATTTACAAGTAGATATATATCCCGAGGTTACTAAACTTTGTCAGTTAGTGCTAACCATTCCGATTACGGCGGCTTCTGGTGAACGTTCTGCGAGTACATTGAAGCGTATAAAGACTTTTCTAAGTAACACCATGGAAAATGACCAACGTTCAAATTTATCGACTTTGGTAATTGAAAAAAATTTATTGGACGATATGATGAAGGATCCGACATTTACAGAGAGTGTTTTTAATATGTTCGCTGCGAAAAATCCAAAAATTAAATTAGTCTACGTGAAAATTTAAATCGTTAATGCATTAAACGGCATAATGCCCAGGTATTAAAAACTGTATTAAAACCTGGGCGTATTTACAACGTGTTCGTACAATAAATAATTTTTCTAGTTCGGTGTTAAATTACGATTTGGTATTATTGTTAAAGTAGCTATAAATAGTAAAACAATTATTTTAGTCTCTCTTGAGTATTTATCTACGAGCAATATAGTATGTATAGTAATATACCCAATATAATACGGTGAAACAATGACGTAACAACTGCCAGGACTCCGGACACGGTACATTTGCACACGAAGAATGTCGATTTTGTTGGAATTTTGGACCTACATATTAAGAAAAACTCATTGAAGTCGAAAAACGATTCTCAACGAGATTAGGTCGATACAACAATATATATATATATCGTTAAAAAAAATAGACGTGTACCTCGTACCGTGGGTAGGCCATTGTTGCAGCTAGAAAGTTTAGTAGGTTCAGGATTTAGCTAATATACCGAAAGTAACGATAAATTATTGCAATCAGAAAACGATTTTGATCGGTGCTCGGTAAACTGATGAGACTACAGTATTGGTCGTGTTCTTTAGCTTGTAGCCAAAGTAAACCAGAAATCAACAAAAATATAACGTAATTTATTGTTAGTTATTTGAATTACAAGCAAAACTGTCGGCAACCAAGAGAAATAGTTTGAAATATAAAGTAGATAAAGTAGGTACCACCGGACGGGAAATTCACCTTTTATAATATAGGTACGAAAAATTCTGAGCATTTTTCCCAATTGAAAAAAGTTATTTCAGAAAAAAAAAAACACATCTTAGCGTAACGTACAATTTGTTGGTGGCACTCGGAATTGAAAGATTATCTACATTTTTAACATATTATTTTATTGGACGTTTTTGGTTTTTCATATTTGGCGAGAAAATCGAAAAATGACCTCCTTAAAGTACTAACTCAAGAAAATTTCCTTTCCGAAAAGGGTCTACGTCGTATACAGCTTTACGGTGGAAAAATCGTTCACGTAAAAAAAAAAAAATAATAATAATAAAAAAATAAACATCTTTGTAAAACCAACGCATTCTTCGATCCACTCGGAATCTAAAATATACGATACGAGGAACCTTTGTTAAATTCAAATTCCAAGTTTTTATTTATAATATAATAATATGCAGTAGGTACCCAAATCTACAAATCGCATAGTCAAAGAATTATTATAAAATAAATGTACAAATACAACATAACCTATAATAACCAGTGCTCGCAGAATATCGGTAGGTACGTATTATTTACATATTGTATTGGTACAGAATAGAAATTGGAATTTAAATTAAAACGCTTGGTTATATAATATTTTCTTCTCGTACCGAACGTATACAAATACAACAAGCGAACAACAAAACAAAATGCATATCATCATTGTAAAACTGTATACAAATAGTTCCCTCGTTCCACTTAGGACCTATAAAAATTGTCGCTGTCCGTATAAATACTGGGAGTTCTTTAATAATAAATAAATAGTAAGTAAAAAACGAAACCGGAATTTTAAACATCTGTTTATTTGAATAACACGATAAAATTAAACCCATGTTTATTAAATTTTCACATTGTAAATACGATTGCAGATTGTCCTTAACATATTATATTGTTTTATGAACGAAAACGTGTAAAAATTGTTTAAAAAAAAAAGATAAGAAAATAATAAAAAATTTTCGACTTTTCGTATAAGATACCAAATTAAAGTATGATAAATGAACATTTTAATTAAAATATATTATAACCGTTCATAAGTTCAAATAATATGAAAATATAACCACAATATTATGTATACTGATATACGATAATATAACACATATTTCAAATTTTCGTAAAAAACTATACTGGGAAATTAAAAAATGATCTAAATCGTTGAATAAACGAAGATATTAAATTATAACACTCGCAAATCGTAATATATAAATGTAATTGAAAAAAAGATACTGACATACTTCGCACATTGGGTAGACCACTATTGTAGGTGAGAAGTTTGGAAGAAAGGATAAAAAAAGGAATTTGATATATATCTGTACGCAACGGTTAATCTTTGTTAATGAAAAACGATTCTGAGTGGAGTATGGTTATACATGTTTTGAAAGACTGTAAATATTTACGATTTTCGTCAAAATTTGATATTAAAACTCTTATAAAAATCTCTGTTTAAACCATGTGTCAAATTTTAAGGCATTTTTGCCGGGTTAATATAATTTTTATACACACACACACAATCAAATAAGAAATAAAAAACTCAAAAATGTCATGCAATCATAATTTTATAAATAACTAAAAAAATTCCATGCTATTTTTAAAATTGTACCAGGCCTAGAAAGTGCTAATAAAAGTTTTTTGGTTAACGTTTATAGTCTCAACGATTATTTATAACCGATCCATAAAAATAAAAATACAAAATCGAATATAACAAAAACCGAAAATCATCGAGTTTTTCCGACGTTGTTTGCCTATTATTAAGGAAATAATAAGACAAATTAAAAAATGCACCAACTAAAACATTTTTTAAAAAAACACACACGTCATATTCGACCTCATTTTGATGAAACCAATAGGTTTTTCGCTAGGTTAGATTAGGTTTCACTATACCTTAAAAATCTAAAATAAAAGCGCGTAACTTGTAAATGATTGTATATTTACATGCTTCATTCAGAGCCGGTAAATTCAACTCAAAAATAGACATCTATAGCACACCAAATTCGAGTTCGCATTGCCATTTTTTTACGTTGATTCGATCACAGTCGATTTATTGAAAAAAATGCCCAAAACAAAATATAATATGTACCCGATATTTATTTTTCAAAAAAATATAATATAAAAAATTCGACACATTTTTCGTGTATAAATAAGCATTCACAAAAATATGTAAAAAAATAAGATTGTGTAGTAATAAGTACCTATATTATAATAACGTTATGTAGAATATAATTTTGACAATTTTCCAAAAGTGACTGGAATTCAAAACGTTTCTCTAGGGAAATAGTATAAAATCGATATACGAGGTTTTGGTATACTTATAGTAAGATAGCTGTTATGAACTTTGCCATTCAATGCGTTTGAGGTTTAACTTAAACCCGAAAACCGCCTTCCTGTAGATATACGAGAGTTTACAGAAAAGAAACTAATTTCAATTTCAATTTACTTGCGTCAAATCAATTAGCTACCGTGTTTTCACACGAGTCTAATAATATATTGTATAATTTGAAAAATGTTTGATTATATAAATAAAAAAAAATTAAGCGAGTACTTAGGTATCTATACTTAGCGAGCATTATTTTTTATTCCTTAATTAAACGCGAGTATAAAAACATTTTATTCAGTTTAATGTCCTTAAATTCTTTAAACCCGCTTTATTTCACGATTAATAAAGTAGGTAGGTAATTTTATACAAGTGGGGCATACCAATTATAACTTTTGACTGGTTCAAATCTGCATTTTTATTATATATTCACACTATCAAAACATGCATAAAGTATATTATAACAATTATTATTAATCTGAGGAAAAATTTTGTACAATATCTACGTTATAAATTATTCCATCATACGTGTAAACTACATGTTACAATGATAGCAATTTTTCTAAAAGGAAATCTAACCGAGAAGATACTTTAAGCCGGTCATTTTTTTGATTTTTCCGAGAGTTTTGCCAAAAAATTGGAAAAAACGGCAAAATGTATGAAATGTATTAGTAAAATATTACGATTTTTTTTTTTCTGTGAAAAATTTTTCTACCAACAATTTTGCTCCGATTTACAACGATAGCACTTTTTCTGAACGGAAATCTGACTTGGTTGGTTCTTAAATCGGATTATTTTTTAATTTTCCTAAGAGTTTTCCCAATAAATGTGAAAAACCGAAAAAAAACGGCAAAATTGGTACAATATTAAACAAATATTATTAAAGAATATATTTAATGCGCAGGTAATCGTTTTACCATAATATGACATACATATTGTTAGCAAAGCAACATTATAACATTATCAACCGAACTTTGCTCAGGATCGTTTTTTTCGTTAACAATGGTTAACCGTTGCATACAGATATATACATTAAATTTCCCCTCTAGGCCTCTACTACCTTCCCAACTTTTCACCTACAATAGTGGCCCACCTACGTGCGATGTGAGTTCGTCCTTTTTATATTTCATCTTTTTTTTTTTCCTTTATTCAATCATGTTTTTATCAGATTTCGTTGAATATTAAACGTCATCTAATGTATATCTATACGAATTTAGAAAGAGCGCATCACCTTGTTACAATGATGAACCCGAGGGAATAGCATGACGAATATTATATGCGACGACATATTATTTGGGCTTCGTCTAGCCCTACAGAAACTTTTCGTCGCAAAACTATCCCCTATGTATTACACATGAGATAAAATATTTAAGTCTTCAGTAAGTACGCAACAATATTAAAAGGGATTATCTATAAAAGGGATGGGATTTTCAACTCCATACCACGAATAAGTTCACTCGACTCAATTCACTCTAATAAGATAACCCAGTGAGTTAACTCCCAAGTTCACAATTCATTAAATTAAACAATTCTAGTTATCGTGAATCATCATACGTCAGAGTCGTCAGACTACTATAACATCGTTTTGTCAGTGTATAATGATAGAATTGTATAATTAGTATTTACATTGTGGCATAGGTGAGTTGCCGGACGCATGAATAAGTTAGGTACTCGTAAATTAAAACTTAATCCGTATATCACTAATAATTTAAGAACTGATAAGTAATAACACACATCCGTGATTCGTGAATTGTATTGAACCAGCGGTAACACTGAGTTATTGAGTCATTGAACTATAACACGCTGGTTCAATTCACTGAAAGTTCACCTAAAAGAGTCAACTCGCTCACTCACTACCCATCCCTAATCTATAATAAAGTGAAGATCATTTTCAATGTAAGTACATGTGCAATTGTTATAACAATTTTATTATTATACATTATGTGCAACGCAATACATTTACATTGTATCTTATAATTGTTGAAGTTATATGAGTTTTTTTTTTCGGAAAAACTTTTCTAGTCGGTAAAAAAGCTACGATTTTTTTATGCCATACAATAAGAAATGTG